ATATTGTCTTGAATTATTTCGATACCTCGTCGAATTAATTAAGTAGACTCGAGTATTTATCCACCGTTAAAAAGAAAATCTTCGAATCGCACACGAAATTTCGATGAATTACGATCCTCTCTCTCTCTCTTTATATGGCCACTCACCACGTCGAAATGTAAACGCTTTTACGTTATTAACAGCGAAGGTAGCACGAGAGTGTGAAGGTAGCACGAACGTGATCAATTTATAGAGAAAACGCGGGAAAGTTCACAGATCGAAGAGGAACAGATTGTCGAAGAAAGATTATGACTCGAAGATGTAAGAGAATTGCGAGGGAGAAAGGGGGAAAAGAGACGTAGAATTAGAAAGAAATATACTAAAGAAATATCTAAAGTTTGGTCGGTTAACAAAACATAGCTGCATGATTTTCCGGCGCGAGTATTTCGATGGAGGCACGCCGAGAAACTGACTGAAATTCGCAGCTTCATGGGTATCCGTGGTAGCTAGGGAACGGTATTATATAGATATATATATATATATGTATATACCATTCTCTCTCCTCCTGGCTTATGGGGTATAAAGCCTACGGGGCACAAAATTCGCGTACAGAGGGTGCCGTTTAGTAAACGCTTTAAACCATGCCCAAAACAGACGTAGCAATTTCGTTAGCGAAGGATTGAAAATTTTATACGATAAAATTGACTTTGATTCTTTTTTAAAACGATTCTTTTTAAATGATTCCTCCGATTTTAGTTCTTTTTTTGTTCCTGTTCCTCTCCTCTCTCTCTTTTCAAGTAAAATTTTTGCGAAACGTGACAGAAAAAGTGGTTCGATTCGAAGCGCTTTTGTTCCAATTATTTTTGTAAATTTATGCAACCGTGAATTTATTCTCGATCTCGATGTTTATTCGAAATATTTTTATAAATATCTTCAAATATGAAAGAACGTGATCACCATTTTCTCGTATCTTATATACGCGATACAATACACGCGATAAAAAATTCTAAAACTGAAAATTGAGCGCTTAAAGGATTAAATATTTCTATGAAATAAAACGAATTTATAGAATTAAATTAACCATCCTCAGAGAATCGTCAGTTCGAATCTCTCACTGGCGTGATACCTAATCGGATATCGAGGGGATAAAGAAGATACGCATTGCGCACACGCAACCATCCCTCCCCTATGATTGTCAAACGCTAAGACTGAATAATATCCTTTTCCAAATGTTATTCTGTAAAAGCTTAAAAAAAAAACGGAAAAAAAAAAAAAAAAAAAAAAAAGAAAATAATATTCCGTACATACAAGGATAACGAATATTCTTTAAAATCAAATTTACAAGAATATTACGTAGAATTAGAATTGAAGGATATCACAGCCTTATATTACATTATTATTATCGATGAATACATTCCACCTCGAACGAGTCGTCAAATTTCATTCGAGCGGAGACCGGAGAGCAAAAACAGCGCGAAAACACGGTGAAGGAGCGACAGAAATAAAAATTCTGGACGCGTTGAATAATGCAAGAGGCGGGAGGAGCATCAACTTTTTTCCGCGATGCGCGTTTCAAAGTTAGACCGAGAACAGTTCAATTTATGGTGGGATGTTTGATTTACACGCGAAACAATTAGAACAACCATTTCGCTCAAAATGGATTTTACCGCGTCTGCCGCGATGCGAAATTTTAATTACGATAACAGGAGGGATTCGCGTTTATCTATTCGAGACCGCTTTTCGACCCGGTAAAATTCAGCTTCGATTTCGAATTACAATCGTACCGAATTAATCGAATCTCTCGTTGAAATTTGACGCCAACTTTCAATTTTATCGTCCACCCATCCATAGAAATTAATATTGGACAGAAAAGATATAAAAAAAAAAAAAAGATGAAAGAACGACACGATTAAAAAAAATAGGATGATGATGAAATTAATATCACGAAGCGAGAAACGTCGTATCTTCCTTGTCCCAACGAATAATCGGTCTAAGATCGAGAATAATCACCGACGTTGGATCGTTTGGAACAGCCAACCTGTCGTCTCGTGAAAGAATCAAGAAAAAAAAAAAAAAAAGACTCGCGAATTCTCCGCTCGTAATCGGTAAAAGAAACGTTGAACGAGGAGGAGGAAGAGGCGGCAATTAAATAAGCCGTTGTGCAACAGCCGGGGTGAAGTCGAGAACTTGGTTGGAGACTACGCGTGACGCGCGTAGAAGTGTTTCCGTTAAAGGCAACAACCGTCGTTTCCTTCCCCTTCCCTTTCGAATCGAAATAATTCGAGAGCAATTTCAATTTGGCGAGCTTCGCCGGCTCGCGGAGACACTAATTACGAAAATCGGTGGAGGAAGTTGGCCGGGGAGAAAGTTCGTCAAAACTTGACGTAATTAGATACCGGACCGTGCCACCCTCTTTAAGGGAATTTCGCCAAGGGAAAGGAGTGGAAAGGAAAACGACCATCTTGTAATATCGGATATGGAGGGAGGTGGTGTACTTCCTCGCTATCCTCGTTTGGAATCGGGGGAGAGCACGGGTTATATCACGGGTTATATTACCGGAAATAGTGCTCTCTCGAACGTAGGAGAGGCAGAGAGGTGAAAGTAATAATCTTTGCAATTTGTATTGGGGCGTGGATGAAAGGATTTCATTGTGTGTAAACTCGATGAGATCGCGTGAAGATAATTAGGAGATAACGATGATCGTTAACAAATCAAGGCGGGTCTGTAAATATCCGTTGTAATATTCATACACGCGATACACCGGCGGTATACGACGATAATTCACAGTTTTGCCGCGGAGATCGATTTAATATTCAATTACCCGTTAAAATTACAACGGCCGATTCTGACAAATTCGTTCGCGTTCCCTCGAATTTTAATGCTTTCGAGTTTCCCCGTGTTCCCGGCCAAAAGTAGGACAGCCGCGTTGGCCCAAGTTTGATGAATCGTCACACGAAACTTGCGTGGAAAATCAACGCGGATTATCAAGCTTCCTACTCTGACGATAGTTTTTAGAGCCTTAAAGTAAAATTTAAAATACGCATTCGAGTTATTACGTTCGTCCAACATCTCTATCTCAAAAGATTACACATATTAAAAACATATACGTACGATATTATGTTCTCAACTCGTGCGTAGTTACAGGATTTTAATTCCTGTAATCAGCAGTGTTCAAAGAGATCCTGATATCCCCCTCCCTATGCATTATGGAAAACCACCGTCTCAACCTTCCCCTGTCTCTTCCTTCCTCTTGCGCTCTCGATGCCTCTTTCATTTCTCCATATCTTTTGCTCCGGCTTCCCGTTGTTATCGGAAATCAATAACAACACCGCCGTAACAAACCCATTGTTTTCCACCGCCCTTGTGAAATCGCGTTCCGAAAACTCCCTTTCCTTTCGAGCTTTTTTAACGAGCAAGGTGGCCACCGTACGATCTCGTCGGCTAAATTGGTTATCGTTGATCGAAGACAGGATTCTTTTATTCCGCGTGCAAAAGTAATCTCGGTGGAGAGGTGAGCTTCCTCCTTTTTTCTTTTCTCCTACTTCCTTTTTTTCCCTCGATCTCGAACGAAAAAAAGGAAGCAAAAATTTTGAAATATCAATCGTTTCCCCCGATTTTTCGAATTGGAAGGAAAAGTGGTCGAGGGGGATGAAGGGAGAGGGACAGAGAAAGTTTTCATTCCGATACGAGCGAGGGAAGGGCGGTGAAAGGGCCGCCGATAAGTCTCAATTAATTCCTTCGTCCGTAGTTTTATCGAATCGCCATTCTCCGCTGTTGGGTGAAAAGATTATGGCCGATCGTCGATATTGTTCAGAGAAGACTTTATTATTCTATACTTTATATTATTGCATCCTTTCACCGCCCCGACGATACTCTCGTTGTCGACGACGATCAATGGCGAACAAATAAATAGAACTCGTGGAAAGGGGATAAGTCGACTCCACGCTCGAAGGGAATTTACGTTGGAGATGCGGGAGCTGGCTCGACATAAAGCGGGGAGAAATGGAATCTATAACTTCTCTTTGCTTAAGCTGCCCCGGTTTTTTTAAAACTCGAAGTGAAGGGAGTGAAGGACACTTGTGTGTTTTGAGAGACCAATTATTATAGGAATCGTACTTATTTAACCGTAAGAATAAAATTACGAGAACACTGGCGAAGGATACTTTATCGGAATTATACCGTCTAAAAGAAAAAAAAAGCGTACCTTCGTGACCGTTATTCGAATATTTAATCTTACTGAAACGGTATAAAAATAAAATGCGAAGATAAGAAGAAATTGCCTGGAACGAGAATATAAACGGGAAACGAATATATTATTTCGGGGTAAGCAAAAAGAAGAGAGAAAAATTAATGGGCGGGAGGGGGACGGAAACGAGGAGTAGAAAATCGGCGGACGAGTGATCAATAGTCTGAGCATAACTATTGCGCGTGAAGCAACAATGTATCGTCGACGCACAGAGAGGAAGGCGTGGCAGCGTTCATTGGACCCTTAATGCCAATGCCAATGTCAGGGTTTTCCCGGTCAGTAACCCAGAAACCACCCCCACTTTCCTCCATCCCCGGAAAACCGAGAAAGCGCCATCGCCGTTTCCAACGATCGAAACGTTCCCTCGACCGACGAACTATGCTAAGCTGATAACGCAGAGAGGCTTGTTTTACCCTCCAACATACGGGGATGACGAAGTAACGTCGACCCTCGTGGATATTGCAGATCGTGGCATTGCCGACCTGCGTACTTTTAGTTCCCTGTATTCCTGATGTTAAACGCGCGTTTGATAACGTTGAATGAAGATAAGGAAGAAAAGTGGTTGGAAAATGTTGAAGAAAGAAATGTTTAAAGAAATTTCGATATGAAAATTCCATGTCTTCGAGGAGAAACATCGTTGTTCGAGATTCGCATCGAGATGAATGAAACGAAAAAAAAAAAAAAATCAAGCCATAAAGCCATAGGATGGTTACCATCGAGGATGCAATAACGAATAAGTTTGTTCTCGTGGACGGAACAGTGATAATCCGCTTACCATTTGTTTATCGAGCGCCTCCATAATTTCGCCGACATCGCCGACCACCACAGCTTGTTTCCGTAACATCTCTTCTTCCACAGCTAGCCAGTCGCGTATCTGAAAGAGAAATGCAACGACGTGTATATCGAGCTGAAACTTTTTTTGAAAAGAGAGAGAATTATTTGAAAATTTAGATATCGTCGGATAAAAGTGTTGGCCGTTCGAAGAGCGATGAGATAGAAACGGAAAGAAATCATCGATCAGAGGGGCGGGATAGAAGCGAATCGAGTATTTACAACCGGAAATTAGATGGGAGCGGCTGCTCGTAAGTGGCTCGTGTCCCGATATCAGAGAAGGGACAAGGGAAAATGTACCGATACACGGTTATTATAACGCGAAAACATTACTCGCGCCACCATCCATTGTCTTCGGGGCATTGTTCTCGTAATTACCAAGCATTGTCCCCGGTAACGAGATTATCGTGGCAGAACGAAAATTTCACCGTGAATATCTACATTTCAATGGCAAGGAACAATAGTTTCTTTTTCTTCTTCTTCTTCTTCTTCTTCTTAGTTAGAGCCGAGGTACGTACGCGTAATTAAATATCAAGGATACCTCGGTTAAGAATCGGTTAATTACCGTCTCATCAGGCAATCATTGGTGTAGAAATACTACGATTCGACGACACGGTGGAATCAACTGGATTGGATGGACGAACCATCATTCAATAGATATAGAAAACCACGACAAACTATATGCTTCCGCAAACGAATAAATAATTGAACTTTTGCGTTCAACCTCGAAAGATGTTGATTCAATCTGCGCCATTCGATATTTGGAAAACTTTTGGATTGGACGAGCTCGGACAAACCTATCCGCAGAATTCTTTAAGGAAAGATCAATGGACAATTGGTACTACCCTTTTAAACGATACGAGTGGAACGGACGGATAATTAACGAGTCGATTATTGGATTTATTCAAATCAATACCAGGTGATGTGGGTTAAACGAGATAGAATATGATAAAATTTTCCTTCCGTGCTTTATCTTCCGATATATAATTAATTCGATTCTTCTTCTTTCGAATCTCTGTTAAAAAAAAAAAAAGAAGAGAGAGACACGGTTCACGTAAAGCTTTTCAACTAAACAGGCTACGAACGATGATAATCTAGTTCGGATGCCGATTAACGCGACCAGGAAACGGATGCTTGAACGCGACCAATGACTACTACCAACTTTACTTTACGAGTGGCGAGCGTGCAAGTTTGGCGGGTAGGTCAATAAATCGCGAAAGAGATAAGCCGGGAATGCTACAGGAAATTAAGGTCTCGCTCGACATTTTCCACCCCTTCGAAGTAGTCTCCCCTCGAAACTTCGAGTCTGAGCCAATGTCCTTCCTCTCTCTCTCTCTCTTTCTCTCTTTCTCTCTCTCCTTATGCCTTCGCATAAAGCCGACCTGATTAAGCGCGCGTTGTCGAACAACGATCATATCTCTCGCGTCGTGGTTTTCTTCACGGCGGATGTATTTTTTTTTCCCCCCCTCCCTCCTTTCTCTCTTTCTTTCCTCCCTTCTTGAAAAGCCTCGACGAGAGAAGCCTCGATGAAAATGAAAGGCCTAGACGTCGTCTCTCCCTCTCCTCCCCACCCCCGACACCAATCCCAGGGGAGGACGCCGCGAAGGGAGGACGGTGGAATATATGTATACGGAATGGAAAATATTCCTGCGAGTCCTCCTCCGTATATATGCCAGCAGAGTTTTCACGCGACAGTAGCTTTGATATTTGACCCGTTGAAAAATGCACCGGGGAGTCTTGTGATTATCGTCACGTGGTGGAGGAATTTTAAGGTGAATGCAGAATTGAGAAGACGACGCGGTTACGATTGACGTTGAAACGTGAAACGGGTAAGAAAGAGGTAAGAAGTCGAGATTGACAAATTGCTGGCAAATATTTGTACCGAATATTCCTCTTCTCTCTCTCTCTCTCTTCTTTTTTATATTAATTTGAAACTGTTCTTCATCGTACGGTTTACGATGCTCTTCCTCTCGTGTACCGATGACTTTAAAAAAAAAAAAAAATATTTTCGTAAAGCTGGAGAAACAAAGCGACGCGAATTGTGGAACAAGTGAAATTTCAAATGAAATTCGTTTATATAGGAGAACGGAAGAATGGAAGCGTGTGTAAAATCGTCCGTTTCGTTCGTTCGATCGTAAAAATATGGATATACGTGTGTGTATATGTACGTGCACAGGAGGACGCGACACGTATTTTCAGGAGAATTTATCCACGAGAAGGAGAACGAGCCCTCTCAGAAATCGAATCACGGAAACTTAATTAAAAATATTGGAAGGCGAACGACCATCGTCAGCCCGGGCTGACCTATATCGCGCCTCTTCCACTTGTTCCATCGTGTCACTCAAAATAAACGAGCCGCTTAATTTGAAATATAAACGCAGCTGTGGCTGAGATCGATACAAGGTAGGCTCGGCAAATGATGAAAAATAGATGGAATCTATTCCGTGGCCGCCTCTTTCGATCGAGTTCCAATTTCTCGAAGCGAAAAAGAATTCCGAAATTATTTATGGAATTATCGATAAACGAGGGCAGAGAGAAAACAGTTCCAAAAATTTGAAGAAAATTGTTATGTTGGATAGGGCCGAAATTAATGGAAGAGATTAAAAAGACCGATCGTTAAATCTTCGGATATAATTCGGATAGAAATTCGACGAGCATTATTGGCCCGAGTAAATCGATATTAAATTTTTCGATTCGGAAACGCGGCTATTTTCGCTATTTTCGATCGAACAGGATCGATCCGCGTTTTGTCTCTGTTCCTTCTTTCATCGGAAACGGGTGAAACTTTCCGCATTAGCGGGCGTATATTTCTGCGTGAAAAGTTCAACGACTCTTCCTCCGACCACCGCCGCTCTCGTTCCATCCGTATCCGTTGTTTTACTCTCCGCTCGCGTCTTTCTCTCGTGGAAAAAAAAAATACCTCCTAAATTTCACCTTTCGACGAGTCTTGTTTTTTCCTTTTTTTTGTTCTCCTTTCTTCTTTTTTTTTTTTTCAGTTTCGTCAAATTGTTAACGTCGCTAACGAAACTACCAAATTCAAAATTTGTAGGACGAGAGAGACGTAACGACGAAAAGGAAAGGGAATTGGTATCGGAACGATACCATAGATCACGCGACTAGGATGAATTTAATATAGAGAAAGGATTGGCAAGGCGCGCGTAGTATGCGAGAACACGCGCGTCAAATAGGAAAACATTTCGCCGGGACGGCCAGCAAGAATCTAATAAGCTAGATACCACGCTTGCCTCAAAGGAAAATGGAGTACGAAATAGTTTCTGTGCCAGGAGACACAGAAACGAGATTCTGTACGACGAAGAGAAAGCGTGTAGAAACGTGATTGAGAAGGACAGAGAGAGAGAGGAGAGAGAGAGAGAGAGCGGAAGGACGGGAAAGGACCAGTTTCTGGCATGTGGAAATAAAAAAAAAAAAGGAAAGAAAACACACGCGCGTATCGCTCCCCACAGTGAATGGAGGAGCGTAGTTTTTAAAAACTTCGGTGAAGAAGAAGAAGAAGGGTAACGCGAATAAATGGAGGCTTAAATCGGGCTCGTTTAAAATTTCACCAACCCAGTTTTCCAAGTGTTCCCCGCTTTCGTTTGTCTTTTATTATTCTTCTTTCTCCTCCTCTTTCTCTTCTTTTTTTCTTTGCCTTTTCTTCCGGTTTTCGCGCGTCGAATCGACGATGGCCGACCTAATCAATTCCACGGATAGCCGTGGGCACGCACGAAACGAGGCCTAACGCGCGGCAAAATAGAATTTCATCGGCAACTCGATCCCTGCTCGAGTCTCGTTACCACGAAGCCTCTCATCGTTTTCATGCAAACAGCACAATACTTGTCAGCGAGACAGCGCGGCGCAGGAAATGGAAGAAGGGAGATAGCTGTTATGACGTCGAGCTGAGCTGCAGTCTGACTGTTGACTCGGCAAATAGGAAAGGCCTACCATAGAATCGACACAATGGACGGCCAGATGACAATAAAATCCATCCGAACGAGATAATTACGAATTTTTTTTTTTTTTTCCCCTTTCTTATCCATGCCGTTCGAATTCGCTTGTGTAAATCGTTAAGCGTCACTGGGTTGTCTGGAAGACACGCTTTTCACCGCGAAACTGGTGCAAAAGTGTCTCTCCATTAAGGGCGGCGAGAATTTAGAACGCTATTTTTGGAAATGTCCAAGTTTCGCGCGTTCGAAAGGAAGTTCGCAGCACAGAGAGAGAGAGAGAGAGAGAAACTTTTAACCTACCTCGAATTTTTACCTTCGAGATCGACGAACGAATATAGAACGTTGGAAATTTTATATATGATCGATCAAATTTATTTCGCGAACGTTCCAAATATGTTTCGGTTAAAAGAAAAATTTTTATCGCCCTCCTCCATTAAATCCTCGTTTCCCGATTCGACGAATGACGACGATTGGACAAATGATTTGATTAAGTTTATTTAACGTCCTCTTGGAAAAAGAAATTTATTCCAAAAAATTGCTTGATCAAAAGGATTATAACGCACGATGATGCTTTGGAAAATGGAGTTATCAAAGGGACACATTTACGTCGAATAAACGAAGAAACATGCGAACACGCAAAGTACCCTCGACGAGGCAAGAACAATATAGCGCGTGCTACAAGTTAAAAGGGGCTTGATAAACCGGTATACGGATCGTTGAACAAAGCTTTGCCGCAAAGGAGCATCCCAGGATCGTATAATAGCGAAGAAATTGCGCCGAAACTAAGGTAAACAGATAGCAACACACGTGCAACTCGATATATTAACATATTTCCTACGAAAGAAAACTTTCTTTCTTCTCACGAGTGTTAGTTCCTTTAAATCGTATCGTGAAAAGATCTGAACGGATCTTGAACAATTGTCGAATAAAAATAAGGGACGAAAGTGGAAGGGATCTTTTGAAAGAGTGCGTTGTTCGGTCAAATTGGTCATTAAAAAAAAAATTTTATTAAAAAAAAAAGAGACTCTCTCTCTCTCTCTCTCTCTCTCTGTTTACTAAAAACAAACGTGAAAAATAAGTTTCTCTACGATGAAATGGCAAACGATATTTTAACAAGTTGCTCGAATTGTCTCAATTGTGTTTCCAGGTGAAAAGAAACTGCTCGAAAAATACGCTTTGTGTAAATAGAAACCGGACGTGTTAGTAGTACAAACACGTAATAAAGTCGACAGACCGGACTATCGTGTAACGTGGCGCGACACGATAGTAAAAATTTTATAAAAGGAAAAACATGAAATTTGATCGTAACCAACGCCGGGCTCAGCCATTGGGAGGTCCGATTTAAAAAATGAAAATGGAAAAAAGAAGCGGATGAAAAGAGAAAAAGGAGAAAGAAAGAAAGAGTAAGAGGTTGTTATCAAACGAAGAAGCGCGGAGCAAATTGTTCGCCGATCCAATCTTTTTGCGAATTTCGGACTTTCCCGGTTGGATCCGGCCACTTCGATGAAAATGTTCCCGAATAAAGTATGGAAGGAAGATGAGAACGTTGCAAAGAAACGGGGGAGTAACTCGATAAAATTGACCGAGTTATACGGTTGCACGAGCGGTTCGACACTCGTGGCGCCGTCTCCACGCTGTCCATCCCCGTCACACAAATCTAATTCCCGTCCCTGATAACCGAACTCATGCCGAGCGTGGCAGAATATTTCGGCCAAGATCGCGGTTCTTCGGCATTTTCCCTCGTCCACGTATTTCACGAGGGGGAACACAGCTACGTAAAACGTGGATGCAGACGGAGAACACCCCCCCCCCTTCGACGCAACAAATAATCGCAGCTGATGCTGCGAAAAGCAATAAGATTTCCTCGAGACGCGAAACATCAGACTTTGAGAAGTTTCCAACCATTGATGAGAGGTTTCAATCGCTCTTTCGCTCCTGATAGGACTTCACTTCTTTTCTTCTTTTCAGTTTTATTTGTAGATTTTCTTTTTTTTTTTTTTTTTTAAATTATCGAAACGTTATCGATCGAACGTATGGATTTTCGTTATTCCAGACGAGTGGAAATCAATCGGCGTCCGAGCGACGAATATCGAAAGAGGAATTAATTTCAGGGACTCGGCGCGCTAATCCAGTTAAAGCGTCCCTCCTACTACTTGGAGAAGCATAGAACGCGCTTTACCCCTTATTTCCACGGGCAGATTGCCCGTTGCCACGGCGTGTGAATTTAAATGTCCTCCACCGTTGCCACCAACGTTGTACTACACTTCTTAGTACCTTCAACATTCCGATTCCGTTGCTTCGAAACGAGCATCGAAAAATTCGCGTCCGCGATTCGAAAGTAACGGTTATCCCTCGAGAAGCAAACTCGAGAAGAAACCCTGCGAAAATCGTGAGAAAAAGAAAAGAAGGGGCGAAAAAAGGGCGGGGGGGGAGGGGGGGACGGAGGCGGAAGAAAAATTAAATTCCTCGAACGTCATTAAAAGGGCCGGAAAGAATCGTGAAAGAGGAATGGAACACGCGGTGGAAATTTAAACCTCGTGCCGTACGTAGAAAGGTGTACCGTTTAACATATTTTTTTTCCCTTCTCCTCCAAGTTGCACGAGCGCCCTCCGGCACGTCCGTCCGCTACGTCGCCATATTCTCGTCACTCTCTTTCCACGTAGCCGTAATTTATGAGCTTTAATTAGCCAAGGTGGCCCGAGGCTGGCTCTTGCCATTATCGTAACTAACTCTATTCTCCATCCTTTACCGTCACCTTTCTCGATCTTATCCTCCCTCAATCGGTTGGACATCGTCGTGCTGCGGCGCGTGGTCGAAACACTATTACATTAAACGTTTCGCGTGCAAAAAGCTGCGATTCGTTCCTTCGAACGATATCGGCCAGCAGTGATTATCAACCGATCAATGGACGTTATATTTCTTTGTTATCCTGCTCCTTGCGGGACACAAGGCGGCCTGCGACCCTTCGTTTCCGCGATACAGCCTGTTGCTCCGCGCAATTTACAAAGTGGTTTACCAGGCGAATTCTCGAAAATTTGCAACCTCTCTCGAAACAATATGAATCGTTCGTAAATATCATCACGTTGCAGGATCATCTCGTCGAGGATTCGGGAGGAAACGGATTTAAAAGGAAGGGGTTACGCGGTAGAAACGTTCCGTTCTCGCCTTCCGAAAATGATTTATCGCCCGTCGGCTATAAAATGCTGTTCAAAATTGCATTGCGCCGTCATCTGTTGCTACGTTGCTCGTTTACAAATTTCCTTTTACGCGTATCGTAAACGGTTACGTGACGGGGAAGGATAATAAGAAAAATGGACGTGCGCATAGGGAAGAGAAAAATTGCACGAGACTTACCTGTAGCACCGATTTGTCAAAGCCTGCTACAAGAGCAGAGGGTGAGGAGGAGGGCGAAGGCGAGGACGAAGGCGAGGATGTGCAGACCGAAGGACTAGTGGTGGTGACGGGGGTCGAGGGTGTTGAGGGGGCAGGGGAAGGTGTCAACCCCCGAGGGCCCCCCGCACTTGCACCCGATGCCCCCGGTGCAGCTCCTGCAGCCTTTTCCACTTCTGTAACACACGAATAAAAACATTTTGTTCAAACATATTATTTAACGCAACGAAAGTGTTGGTGTGCGATTGTAAATACTTGATATTTCTCTTCTGCTCGAAAATCTCGCGTATCTCCGAGGTAACGATACGATTTTAATTCGATGCTAGCGCAATCGAGTCGAGATAAATTCGCCATTCTACGAATTAAATTATCCTCGATCCACGTGCGAATTATATACGAAAAATATAAAAATATATGTGTTTGTTAAGCGTGTCAAAAACGTACATCCGTAATCCGTTTTATCGAGTACGGATGTAGAATGTTCGTTCTCGCGGCAAAGCAAGAAAACTCGTAATTTTCCGGTCGGACGATAACATTGTATTCTTTCTCACGCGCGGCAATAGATAATAAAGAAGGAGAGAGAGAGAGAGAGAGAGAGGAGGTGTAGA